TCGTACGTCCGATCACGTCTAAAGAGAAAATGCATCTTGGCGTTCGTCTACGCGGGATGCTATCTGAACCGTTGGGTTGCCCAGGCATGCGGATCGCTTGCGTGGTCTCCCACATCAGCGTCTTCGCGATGCAACGTTTTCTAGTTTGTCGTAGCTACTGTCGTGATCGTTCTACGTGGCCCTTTTTTTTTGCAATTTTGCCAGTTATTTTTAAATTTTATTTTAAAAACATCATTTTTTATTCACAATTTCATCCATTTTTAAAAAATTATTTTTAATTTTATTCATATTTTATTTTTTCTTAATAATTTAAATATAATTAAATTAAAATAAAAATTTTAATTATTTATATATATTTTATAAATATAAAAATTATCCCAGACCCGAAAATTGTTATATAACAAAATTATATTATATTTATATGACTCTTTTATAAATGTAGTATATCATAAATGTTTAATTTTCTAATCAATTCAAAGATTATTTTGATTGCATTAGCAATAATGGTTTGAAAAGCCACTCATTGATTAAAGAGTGATTCAACAATTAAAAATTGAGTATATGAAATATACACACTAAACATATATAATCTTCTACTAAATATATGTGATTCAACAACTTTTTATAAAAGAAAAAAATATATATCAACTATCTATCTAATAATTTTCATTAATTAATTTGTGTTTTTATAAATCAACTCTCAACGTGCCCAACTTCTCCACACATATATATACATACACACACACACATCAATCACTATACACTGGTATCTACAAACAAATTATCTCATCCTTGATAAAACTAGATTAATAATTATGCGAACCACAAGAAATCCCCACTTATATAAATAGCCCTTCCAGGTTACCACATCATTTATATATACAACTCTCTGTGTTTTAGTTTCATATTTATAATGCCTCCTTTTAAATTCGATATAATCATTACTGCAATGGCGGATGACTGCTCTTGCTGCCGGAGCTTGTGCTCTGCTATGTGTTTTTCTTCTAATTTTTTCTTAATCCTCAAGTCAATTATATATATATATATATATATATATTCTTGCATAACATTAATTGATAATTTAATATATATCACGTGCAAATTAAATATTGTCAAATAAATTAAAATAAAAAACATGAAAATCAAGGTTGTTCCAAAAAAAAAATACAAACAAAATTTTAGTCTATGTAGTAAAAAGCAGCAACACAAGTGCAGAAAAACTAAAAAAATACAGTAATAATTTATTATAAAAATAATTAAAATTAAATTTAGTTTAAGGGAAAACTAAAAAAAAAAAAAAGCTAATTTACTTAATAATTATACTAACATGAAGTAGCCTGATTTTATTTTTGGATAGCAAGAAAAACAGGAGGCTAAGAAGGACCCTGAACATGCTCACAGGCATAATAAGATTGAAGAGAACATTGCAGAGACGGCGGCAGCCGGAGCTGGTGGATTTGTACTCCATGAGCATCATGAGAAGAAATAAGCTGAGGAAGAAGAGAAGGATCATCATGAAAAGCATCACTTCTTCGGCTAATCTATATGCATTAATTATTTATTTATTACCCATATATATGTATATTTCAAGCTTCCGCATCTGTGTCGTCTGTCACAAGAAACCAATTACCCTAAATAAACTCTGTCTATTCGCGTGTGATCATGGTGAGTGACATATTTTGAATTTCTGTTTGCTGTAAAAAAAATTTTTGATTTAATTCTATTATGTAAATAGTAATTATTACAATAAGTAAGTTGTTGTATACACATCCAAAAAGAATTTTTTTGTTCTTTCTTCCCCGAGTGGTGCACCCATTTTCTTCCTTTTTTCTTACGTTTTTTGTTTGTCTTCATTCATTAACTACAAATTTTCTTTTCGAAATTTCTAATCTTATCTAAATATATATATCGAATCATAAAAGAAAAAAATTAATTTATATATACATATTTTTTTGTTTTTAATGTGAATTTGATTAACCTAACACGTTAAACTTTTAAAATCTATAAAAATAATTTGAAACAAAAATATTTTAATTTTCAAGCAACAACCCTAGCTTAGCAACTTAAACCCACTAGGAAAATAACTTCCAAACACAATTTGGAATAGTCTTCCATAATTATTTCCTTGATATCATTTGATATAGCTCATAAAGGAATATCAACATATTTGTAACTTTTATTAAGTATGGAATTAAAATTTTACGGATATTGATAAAAACTATATACTTAATATACTATACTTAATATGTTTATTCACTTATAAAAAAAGTATAATCGATTCATATGAAATGATAGATACTAAAATCTGGGAATGTACTCTTGCCGACAGTGGGCCCCAACTACCATCTCGTGTACACCCCCGGTCCCACCCCCAATTGGCCTCGGCCACACACTCAATCAAAATTCAATAAATGAGAGGAGTTGAAATTCCCTTTATGTCCTTCAGTGTGAATTATATTATATTGACACGTGGCGATTTATAATTGAGATGGGCCACGTTGGCCCAGTTTTAATTTATGTAACACGTGGCAATTCATCATTGAGATGGGCCCTGTTGGCCCATTTCCGTATTTGGACAAACCTAATCCAGAAAGGATATTCTCCTTGACGATGCTGTTGGACGTTCATCTGATACAAATGTTTGACCATGATTTTGACTCTTTGTTTTCTTATAATATAAGATAAATACTTTCAATAAGTTACGTTATATTCACATGGCTCTCTCATAAATACATTATATCATATGAAATTATCACTCTTTTACAAATGTAATATATCACATAAAATATGATATTCTGATCAATTTAAAAATTATTTTGATTTTCTTAATAACGAAAATTTAAAATATCATAGGTTGACAAAAATAAAAAAAAATTCAACAATTTAAAGAAAGATCGGTTCTTGAAATTTTTTTTTTATTTTTTGATGGCAAAACGAACCGATACATTATTAAACTAATTTTTTAAATGTCTTTTCAAATATTCCTTAATGCTCTAACTATTTATGAAGTATGAGAAGTGGATGAATAATTACCGTGCTTTTAAAAGAAATCAACGAATCTTATCTTTACGTAACCATAGGATTGCTTCCTTTTAATTTTTTTTTTCCATAATAAGATTAAAGATTAGATTAAGTTAAAATTAGATATAGTAAAATTATCTAAAAATTACTTTATTTAGGAAATAATATGATTTTTAACAATTAATTTACTTTAAATAATGTAAAAATTAAGTTGAGTTCAGGTTAAAGTTTTTGTTTAGGATTTTATTTTTAAAAATTATATCAATTTGCAAACGAGAGTAGCCTTATACAATTATATATAAATAAATTATCTCCATACTTATTAATTAAGGTAGAGGCTTTTTGTACACTAACAATGTAAGTTTAATTAGTAAGGATGTGCGCTCAAAATATTTTATAATCAAAATTTTAATTATTTTTTTATAGATTATGATCTTAAAACTGTCTCGTGAGAAGACTTAGTTCTTGAATTATTTGTATTATCTGAAATTAAAAAATATATTAATAACTTGATAGTATGATATTAGATAATAATTCATAATATCACATCGTTGACTAATTATTATCAAAATATTATATTATATATTATAAAATTATTACAAAATATTTTGAAGAATATATAGATATGATATCTTCCGTGAGATGGAATTTCCCTCGTCAAAGATATATTTGTTATTTGGGGTCCATTTATCATTTGTTCTCGTTGTAATTTTTATATTTTAAAAGTATTTTTATAATCAAATGAAGAAAATATAAAATAATTTTCAAAACTTGTTTTTAAATACGTTTTAAATTAATAATTTTAAAAATAAATTTTACCAAACACAATATTATATTTTATAGTTAATTTTATTAAATATTAAATACTTTTTTTATTAAAAAATGACTTTAATTAATAATTATTTTAACTGCACTTTTAAAACTCAGGAGGTGAATTCCAACTTACCACGAGATTAATAATTGAAGTTGAATTTTCTTAATTGTTTCAGTTTGATTATGACCAAATATAATAATTGATCACAAGTCTCTTACCAGCTACGCCAACCGACAGGTTAGTAAAAAAGTTAACCAAACTTGATTTCAATCAGAAAATATATATATGTATACACAAACTTAACTATTTCTACAAGACAAGCACTATTTTTAAGAACTTAAAAGGACAATAAATACAAACTCAACTGTCAATTAGATTATACAGAAAAATACATAGTTAGATAATTTAAAATATGTATGTTTAAAAGCTTAATTTCTCTAAAATTAATTCGTCGAAAAATTTAAATTAGCACATAAAATCTAAAAATTGAAAGTGCCACTCGAGAGGTTATAGTATTTCATGCAAGCTAAGCACTTGATTTCTTGAATAATTGACATATATATGTATGTATATGTATTATAATATAACACATGAAAGACAGGTGGTAAGAAAATAAATTGACATGTTCTCGCACGACTTCGTCACTCCCGGGGGGCTACAACATTAATTTATGTTATAAGGAATTCAATCTAAAGAAGGAAAAAAACTAAATCCTAGACGTCTCAACTGCTGTTATAAATTTAAGCTTTAGTCTTCACACTTCATTACTTTTTTTAACATATATTCATTTGAGCCGATAAAACAACTTTTGGCCGGTACACCGTCCTCATTTTTCCAATAGTTGAAGAATATTTCAAATTCTAAAATCATCCCCAAAATATATATATATATACATATAAAATAAGTTTCTATTTCTCTTACACTTAAATTAATCCCCATATTGATAGACACACACACATCAACGACTATACACTAGTAATAAAGTATATACAAATTCTGTCATCCTTGATAAACCTACTAATAATTATGTGAACCCCACAAACCATAACCGTGTCAGTCAGGAAAAAAGCCAATTAATTATTGCCAATCACAGTATCTCATTAAGATAATTCCCTTGTCAACACAATCCCCCAACTTCTATAAATATCCCTCCCTAGTTTCCTCATCACTTACATTTACAACTCTCTCCCTATTTATCCAGCTATAATCAATATAACCACTACTGCGATGGCGGACAAGGAGAAGCACCACCACCACCATCTCTTCCACCACCACAAGGAGGAAGAGAATCCGGCAGAGGCCACATCGGAAACCGTTGTCTACTCTGAAGGACATAAGGAACATGAACATGATTATGGGAGAGACGAGAAGCATCACAAGCATCTTGAGCACCTTAGTGAGATGGCTGGTCTTGCTGCCGGAGCTTATGCCCTGGTATGTATATTTCTTGTAATTTTTCTTTTCTTAATCCCCAAGTCAGTTATATATACACATAAATATATTTTTGTGCATAACAAACCCTGTGTACTAATTTCGATTCAGCTATTCATCTGATACTAATTGATAATATTGTCAAATAAATTAAAATAGTAACATGACAATCAAGTTTATAAAGAAAAAAGAAACAATAAGATTTTGGTTTATAGAGTGAGCAGCAGCAACGCAAGTGCAGAAAAACTAAAAATATAGTAATAACATATTATAGAAGTACTAAAAATGATATTTAGCGTATGGAAAAACTAAAATTTCATTTTCTTTTTTAAAAATTAGCTAATTTACTCATAACTATACTGACATGAAGTATCTCTTTTTTTTTTTTTGTCTTTTGTAAATTGACTGGATAGCACGAAAAGCACGAGGCTAAGAAGGACCCTGAACATGCTCACAGGCATAAGATTGAAGAGAAGATTGCGGGGACGGTGGCAGCTGGAGCCGGTGGATTTGCACTCCATGAGCATCACGAGAAGAAAGAAGCCAAGGAAGAAGAGAAGGCTCATCATGAAAAGAAGCACCATTTCTTCGGCTAATCTATATGCATTAATTAATTATTTATTACCCATATATATATATATATATATTTCAAGCTTCAACTTCTGTATCGTCTGTCACCCTAAATAAACTCTACATGCGTGTGTGATCATGCTAGAGTGACATATTCTGAATTTCTGTTTGTTGTAAACCACTTTTGATTTGCTTCTCATTCGCTGCTACTATGTGAATAATAATTATTACAATAAATAATTTATTCTATCTTAGTTTCCTTTTTTAGTTTGTTTTAGTCGAAGCAAAAGATCTATTTTTCTAGTCTATTTTCAACGTCAATTGTGTCTAATAATTGTCTCAAGAAAGGAAGAAAAAAAAAAGAAGTGTAGTACTAATGATCTAACAATCTTGCCAAATATCTGTTTGGGGTGGGGGGGGGGGGGGGGGGGTGTTCTATAGAGGTTTATATTAATACTTAATCCCTATATAAGTAAAATTATTTTGTTTACTCCTGACACAATAAATTCCCAATTCAAAAGAATCTAGACAAAAGACAAGATGGGAGAATGCTTTCTTCCTGGTTTTTCTATAGCTAGATCATACAAAACAGAGATAATCTTGTCATAATAAGAAACCAACTCGCTTTCTTTCAAGATGTTTAGAAGACTATGCATATATACATATACACACATACATGCGTACATGCATGCACGCAGACACATAAATATGTATGATAATGATAGATGTACAAAGTGGATTTTACAAAAATTTATCTATGAACTAATGCGGCAGCTTAGATGAACTCTCCATCTCCATCAGTCGAATGAATTCCGAAACTAGCAATTTTCTTTTTAACTTCAAAAGATTAAAAATAATTTATAGCTCAAAAGCCAAGGAACCTACCTCTCCACTAAGCACTGTAAATGAACTATCCGTCATCACTTGCCAAAGCCTTTAAAAGTGAGATTCTTATGCACCCCCCCAAATCTCCAGACTAACCCATGTATAGTTCGTAGGTCATAGCAGCTGCAAATAATAATATCACCTGTAAGAAAAAGCTCATACCAATGGTTCGATATTATGGTCCTGTTTGCTTGCTACAAACTGCTATCTCAGAAGTAAAAATTGACGCAAAAGTACCAACCTGCAGATGGGTTGCCGGTTTCTGTAAAGAAGGATCTTCCGTTATTTTCTTTCATTTTCTCAAAACTTGAATCTGCACTATGTTAGTCACATTTTCCAACATCTTAACCAGCAGAAGAAACTGCATCATCTGAATCCACCTTCAGCTGAAAACAAGAAAATAAAAATAGTGAACAAACCAATAAACCTGCACCTAAACTACTTTCTACCGTAAGATTGTAGCACACCAGCTTCAAATGATTTAGCAAAGCTCCCTCGAGAAGCTTTTTGAGTTTATTGCACTGATCAACCATGTGATCCGAACTGATTGATTCATCAAGTCGACACCACAGTCTCTCTATTGTTGTATATGGGAACCAAACTCCAAATGGTCTTTTCCGGTTAATTATGTCTACAGGTCTCTGCAGAAGATTATCATTGGAGCACATTACCAGGTAAACATACCGCTTAGTGCAAAAAGATGTAAAATATGGAAACAATGATCAAGATTTTCCTTGAAAATAGTCATTGCAGTTCAAAGCATCCAGGAAAGGAGGACAAATAGCAAAAAATCACATCTCCCATAACCGAACACATTATAGATTAGTTCATGTTTCAAAATGATTCTAGAATATAAGATTCTCCGGAGCAGATATGTTAGACCAAATCACAATGCACAATCATTTAGTTTACAGACATTGTTCAAAACTTGATTATATTGTTGAAAGTCTTTGACTTTTGAACTTATTATACAATGTCTTTGACATTGTCAACATCTTCTAAGATTTCAGTCAATTTGTGTTAGCATAAACAATGAAGCTCGGTTTAAAATACTGGAGAAATTCTTAATACACAGCAAGTATCCTGCTAACTGGATCCACTTTTACCATTATTGGCCAGACAACTTACAAATGAGAGAAATCATTTGAAAATGATGCTAATATAGCTAGAAGTAAGTAAAGCGAACCTAGATGCGAAATTTGGTTAGACTACCAAAATCAAAACATCA